TTCCTGTTTTAGCAGGCAGCTGCCGTGCCCATGTCACCGCCGGGAACAAAGTGCTGCCCACCCGTCTTGTGCCATGGTGCTGATGGTTCACTGCAGCAGCTGTGTCCCCCCAGAGCTGGCAGCCACCCAGCTCTGTCCTGCCCTGCTCCCCTCCCAGCTCCTGCCTCACTCCTGTGGTGCACAGGAGATACTTCCGTGGAGCTGAATCAACAGGTCACCCAAGAAGGGATGCTGAGGGGATGATGGCCATGATTTTGCCCATGGGCACCCCTTCCCAAATGCTCCCCAGGTGACCTGGACCCTGTACCCCTCTCACCTGCCTGAACACCCCGTGTTCTTGCTCCCAGCAGGTGGGAAAGTTTGGGAGAAGAAAGATTGGACAAAGCTGGAGCAGAAGCTGGGGCAGGAGGAGCTTCAAGGGATGGGATGGAGTTTACATCAAAGAAGTCCTGAAGTACAAGAGCCCTGCTAGATGTTTGGAGCAGGCTGCTGGTGGTGCTGCTGGTGTGAGGTGTGTCACAGTGCCAGCTGTCAGCCCCAGCGCCTGGTGAATGGAGCTCTGGGTGGGATTCCTGCAGGATTGCAGTGGGACCCCAACAGATATGAGTGGTTCGCAGGGTGGGCATGGAAGGGGATGTCCCAGCCACGTGGAGGTGACTGTGCCTCCCACCTGGATACCGGGAGCCGGTGTTGCAGGCGGGGGATCCGTCATGTGTGGTTTGCAGCTGGGATGGGTGGTGACACGGCAGCGCTGGTTTCAGCGCCTGCAGGGAGGAGTGAGCCTCCCGGTGACAGCGGCCGCGTCATCCTCACCCAGACAAGAGGTGCGGGAGCAGCAGCATCAGTCTGGGGGCAGTGGGGCCGGGCAGCAGTGGGACAAAGGGGTAAGGGGCTGGGGGGGGCAGGACACCAGGCAAGCAGGGGTGAAGGATTGGCAAAAAGGGGATGCTGAGAGGTGGGGAGTTGCCCAGGTGAGGGAAGGGGCAAGCAAGGAGCTGAACAGGTGTATCCACAGAGCTTGGGGCAGGCAGGAAAGGGATGCAGAGCCAGGGATTGGTGGTGCTGGAGAGCTGCGGGTCTGTGGCATGCAGGGTGGATTGCCAGGAAGGGTCCTGGGCCCAGCTGGAGACTGCAGCCCCAGCCCACGCAGGGCCCAGCGCCGGGACAGCAGATACGGGAAGTGTGTGCAGGAATGTTGTTTCTGTCTGGAGCCCTTGAGCAGGAGTGATGGGGCTCCGAGCCTCTGACGTAGAGCTGCTCCCTGTGCTCTGTCCTGCTCACATGCCAAGTGTCTCCGTGCTCCGGTCACTGCATACCATGGATCGGTGCTGGCTACGGCAGCCAGTGCCAGGGTGTCAGCTCTGCTCCCTAGGCATGGGGTGGTGCAGAGTCCATGGGACAGGAGCAAGGATGGGTTTGGGGCACCGTAGCTCAGGGCAGTGGGGCTAGTGGCTGCCTGGCTCAGCTAGAGGCAGGCAGTAATGCCCTGTCCACTGTTCAGGTTGTCTGGCTGTGCCATGGTGGCTGCAGCACTGGCTCTCCCTGTGGCTTCTGCCAAGTCCCAGTGCTCCCTTCCCTCTGTACAGGTCATGTTCCCAGTGCGACCAGCACTTGCTCTCCCCAGTCCAGTGCTGTCTCACCCGCACAAGATACTGACTCTCTCCCACCCCACTTCCCCTTGCCACCACACTCCTGCTTGTGCTGGGAGGGCACCTGATGCCATCCACACGCCTGTGCCTCCTTTGCTCCTGCGTACCCCTGTCCCCTGCCTGGGGTTTTTGGGTGTGAAGCAGTGACTGTGGCAGCTGCGTTTTCCCTCACCCCTGCTCCCCAGCAGCTTTGTTGTCCTGGTGCATCCCATGTTTGTGGACCTCTCCCCTGGCTGTCTGGTGCCACACTCCCTCCCTGGCTGGCCCCCACCCTGCCTACCTCTGAACTGGCCGGGGGGGGGGGGGGAAATCTAGGGGCCCAGGCTCCATACAATCCCCCCAAACCTCACTGCTGACTCAACCAGCACCTCCCAGCAGGAGACCTGCAGCCTCACAGAGGTGCCACTGTGTTCTGTCAGCCTCTGTCCTGGACAGGGATTCAGGCAGGCACCAGACCCCTTTGAAGTTCTGGACCAGTTTCCCACAGAGGATCTGCATGAGGGTGGCCATGAGTAAGGGTGTGTGAAGGGGCTGCGGTGGCTGTTCCTTCCCCTTTCAGCAGCAACGGTGGTGACCGGCAACCTCGTGGCTCGGGCAGTGTCTGGGATGGAGGATGTCTGCCTGGGTTTTTCCATCTCACTCCTTTCAGGGGCTCTGGGAGGGAAAAAGGCCATGGGCAGCCTGGGCTGGGCACAGCTCTTGGGTTCTCTGCCATCCACAGCCCTCTCCTGCCTGTGGCACTGCCCTGTCACCACTGCCCTCCTCTCTTTCCCACAAGCCACAGTGGCTGCCCCAAGCCTCCCTCCACACATGCACCTTCTGAGGAACCTGTGCCTTGACCCAGCTCCCATAAACAAGCTTATTGAGCCTGCCTTGCACGGGGCACATGCCAGAATTCCCTGCCTGGCACAGAGGCTGCCAGCACTGCCAGACATCGGGGTTTCCCTGCTGCCCTGGCCCTGCTCCCTGACGAGCCTCCAGAGAGTCACCAGAAATTCCCCCGGGATGGTTCCAGGAGGAAGCTGGTGAGTGGGGCCATGAGTCAGTGGGAGCGGCCAGGACGGGGGCAGAGCTGCAGCCGGCAACCCCCCACTGGAGCTCCTATTGCCCAGCTCGAGGGCTTGCTGAGACTGGTGCACAGTGTGTGGGGCATTGGCCCTCATCTCCTTCTGCCATCACTTGCTCCGAGGTCCCACTCCCCTCCCAGCTCCGTTTCTGCCAGTGCTACTCTGTGCTGCTGGGCCACAGGCAGCGTGATGCCATGGTGTGCCTGGCATAGTGCCCAGGTTGTTGGAGCTGCAGCTTCTGCATGTGGTGTAAACAAGGGATGGGAATAGCGTGGGGAAGGCCAAAGGATCTGCCACAGTGCCAGGGAGACCAAAGCCGGATCTGACTTTCTGACTATATCCCAGAGCTGGAGTCAGAAGTCTCTTTGTCAGGGCTGCCCTGCAGATTCATCTTTTCAGGGTTTATTTAGCATCCAGCTCCCACAGGTGCTCTGTGCTATGGGCTGAGGTCCTGGCAGGCTGGAGAGTGGAGGACGTGGAGCAGTACCTGCTCCCCAAATGCTTCAGGAGCCACCAGCTTCAAGGGACTCTCAGGGCACCCTGGCAGAAGCCCTCCTCACCTCTGATGCCAGCCAGGCAGGGAGCACAGAGAGCCACTGCCTCCTGCCTAGCAAGGAGCTAGGCCATCACAGGGACAAGGGGGACAGGCTGGACTCTGTGGGAGGGGGCTGTAGGGTAACCTGTCTGCAGGGTCCCTGGGCTATGTCCCACCATGAGGGAATGCTTGTCACACCGGGTGCAGGATGTGTTTGTCACACCGGGTGCAGGATGGCTGCTGCTTGTGAAGCAATTTCCTGTGCCAGGGAATGGGGGATGCTCTTGCAGGGTTGTGGTGGGGGAGTGAGGCAACCCCCTGATTTCTCACCATTGCTTCCTCCCAGCTTAGCCCACACTGCACTTTCCTGTGAGCCAGCCGTGGCCCTGAGATGCATCCCACCAGCACAGGGCACCTGGCAGGTGATGCTGCCTCAGGGATGAGCCCTCCCTTGGGCATGGGGGTTCCTCTTCAAGGGCACAGGGAGCACAGCCCTGACCTCTCACTGCCCCCAGCTATGCTTGTGCATAGCTGAGTGCTTGTCCTTTGGCTGGGCCAGGAGCTGCTGGCTTGGCTCAGCCAGAGCTGGGGGGATACTGGGAGGGGCAGGTGCTAAACCACAGTCTGGCACTACTGGGAGCTGGGAGGACAGGCACTAACAGTAATGGGGTGAACAGGATAATGAAGCCAGCTGAGGACCCCTTGGGGTCATGGGGTTCGTGAGGGCTGGGGCAGGGGATCTGCTCTGGGACCTGTGTCTCGGGCAGCCTCGCTGGGCTGCACCAGTCCTCCCTCCCCCGCCGCTGACGCTGCGCCTTCTTCTCTGCCATCTGTTTTCCCCTCGCTCCTCATCCCTGTTTGCTTTCCCCTTCACTGCTCTCGTTCCCACAAGCGTCGGCACTTTGGGAGAAGCAGGAAAACACCATCCCATGGCAAGGTCTGTGCTGTGCTGGGTGGGAATCTGAGTCAGCAGCACCCTGCAGAGCAGGGCAGCAAGGATAGGACACCCCTAATGTCCCAGGGCCCCAGGTGGAGCATTCCCTTGCCCAGAGCTGCTCCTGGGCAGGCACTGCTTCAGGTACCAGGAAGCTCTGCCATTCAGCTGCTGGCATTTGGGCTTAGAGGTCATGGGGTGAGGAGCCATGGGCATCTCCAGTGCTGGAAACACTCTGACCCACTGGGGTGATGCAGCTGTGGTGAGGAATGATGCAGAGTCCTGGTGAGGGTGCAAGCTCCCAAATCCCAAGCAGGTGGGTTCCAGGCGCTGGGGCTCAGGTGGGGGTTCCACTGCTATCTGCCCTCATGCCCACCCATGCCCTTGCGGGTCTGGGTCCAGCACCATCAGCCCTTGGCCAGCCAAACTCAGTGTCAGCCGGTGTGACGACACAGCTACAGGGTCCTGAGCACCTGGCTGGCCTCCAGTGATGCCCTGCTGTCCCCTCAGCTACCATGGTCTTGGGGTCAGCAGGGCAGTGCCTGTGCAGGGCAGCCCCAGGGTGGCCATTTGGTGCTGTGCTGTGGCCCGGTGCAGCTGCCCAGCCACTCTCCTTCTTCCTGTCCTCGCGTGGCTGCGGAACGCAGCGTGTTTAGTAAACAAGGTGATGAAACAGTTAAGGCAGAGATGGAGTGTGCGTTTCGTCAGCGTGGGAAGGCAGAAGGGAGCGTGAGTCGGCGCTGAGGGGTCTGAGGGTGACTCATTGCCCTCCCACCCCATAAATAGGAGCGGGTAGCCCGGCGGCACCCAGAGCAGACAGCAGGGACCAGCACAGCCACAGCCCTCCTGTCACCGCCGAGCCATGGCACTCCTGGCCCCGCTTGTCGTCGGGCTGCTGGCCGTGTCCTGCTGTGCGGCCCCACTCCAGGGCAAGCCGCAGGCGGTTGTCACCTTCCCGGGGGACCTGACCAGCACCCTGCCGGATCTGCAGCTGGCAGAGGTGAGGGGAGCATGGCCCCGTGATGCCGTCCCGGCATCAAGGTCCCCAAGGGGCACCCAGGCTGACAGTGAGGGGCTGCAGGCACGGCTTGAGACCTGTCAGTCTCCTGGAGCTCAGGGAGACGCCCAGGCTGGGATGGGTGCCCGGGGCTGCTGGAGCCCCCTCCTGCCTCACTCACCCCTCTGGCTGCCTTTCCTCCACAGCGCTACCTGCAGAGGTTCGGCTACACCACGGAGGCAGAGGCTAAGATTGGTGGCAGCCAGGTGTCCCTGGGCAAGGCACTGCTCAAGATGCAGAAGCAGCTGGGCCTGGAGGAGACAGGAGAGCTGGACGCTGCCACATTGGAGGCCATGCGAGCCCCCCGCTGCGGTGTCCCTGACGTGGGAACCTTCCTTACCTTTGAGGGGGACCTCAAGTGGGACCACATGGACCTAACTTACCGGTGAGTCTGCTCTGGAGATGAATCCTTGTGTCCCCAGGGTGGTGGTCCCAGGAGAATGGAGAGCCTGAGGGATCAGGAGGTTGGCAGCCTCTGCTCAGCCCTTGTCTGGGTTTGGTGCTGCCTGTACAGCTGGGTCTTAGTGCTGCCAGGGCCAAGCTGAGATGGCAGCAGCATCTGCTCCCTGATGCCCAGAAGAGCACCTGAGCCCTGGGGGAGGTCAAGGGTGGTGGTGACTGCTATCACCTCTGGGGCTGGGGGTCTGCTCCTTCCCAGAACAGGGTTACTCCTGCATGAGGAGGGGCAGCACTGACCCTCTGCCTCCCTGGTAGGGTGATAAACTACTCCCCCGACCTGGACCGTGCTGTGATCGATGATGCCTTCAGACGGGCGTTCCAAGTGTGGAGCGATGTGACCCCTCTCACCTTCACCCAGATATACAGTGGCGAGGCAGACATCATGATCATGTTTGGCAGCAAAGGTGATGTCCTCTGGGCAGGCAGGGAGGGAGAAGGGGCCGAGTGACACACCCTGCCTGTGGGATCCTCACCCCTTGTCTCCTTGGGCTATGCACGGAGTCCCCCTGCCCCCACAAGTGCAGGAGGTGTGCAGGGATTGGGTGTCTGTGTGCATGCTGGGGATGTGAGGGCTCCTCTGGCAGTCCAGCTGAGGGTGCTTTTCCCTGCAGAGCATGGGGACGGGTACCCCTTCGACGGCAAGGACGGGCTCCTGGCCCACGCCTTTCCCCCAGGCCAGGGCATCCAGGGTGATGCTCACTTTGACGATGATGAGTTCTGGACACTGGGAACTGGCTTAGGTAAGGGCAGGGTCTGGTGGATTGGGGGGGTCTGATGGTGCCAACCCCAGATGCAGCACTGAGCCGCCCCTCTCTGAGCAGTGGTGAAGACCCGCCATGGGAATGCCAATGGAGCTGAATGCCACTTCCCCTTCATCTTCGAGGGCCGCTCCTACTCTCAGTGCACCACAGAGGGGCGCAAGGATGGGCTGCCCTGGTGTGCCACCACCTCCAACTACGACCAGGACAAGAAATATGGCTTCTGCCCCAGCGAACGTGAGTAGTGGTGGCCATAAGACCACAACCCCTGCCCGGCCCTGTGGTGCCTGGGGCCTTCCTCACTCTCCCTCACCCCACAGTCCTCTACACCAATGGTGGGAACAGTGATGGAGCCCCCTGCGTCTTCCCCTTCATCTTTGATGGCACGTCCTACGATACCTGTACCACAGATGGGCGCTCCGATGGCTACCGCTGGTGTGCCACCACCTCCAGCTTTGACCAGGACAAGAAATACGGCTTCTGCCCCAACCGAGGTGCCAGCAGGGAGGAGGGCATGCGGAGGAGGGGGCACACAGGGGGGCATGTGAGGGATCTCAGTGTTGTCCTGGGTTCTGGCCGGTGCAGCCAGGGGCCAGGGACAGCCTCAGTGACACTTTGCTGCAGATACGGCGGTGATCGGTGGCAACTCCCAGGGGGACCCGTGCGTCTTTCCCTTCACCTTCCTGGGGCAGTCCTACAGTGCCTGCACCAGCCAGGGCCGTCAGGATGGCAAACTCTGGTGTGCCACCACCAGCAACTATGACATCGACAAGAAGTGGGGCTTCTGCCCTGACAGAGGTACTGGCCCCTCTGCCTGTGCTCCCCTTTGTGCCTCCCAGACCCATGCCATATTGTCACACTTCTTGTGGGGACCACAGTCTCTGGATGGTGTGTCCTGCCCTGTTGTGGCCCACCAGGCACTTAAGCCAGCGCTTTCTCCCAGGTTACAGCATCTTCCTGGTGGCTGCCCATGAGTTTGGACACTCACTGGGGCTGGACCACTCCAGTGTGCGTGAGGCCCTGATGTACCCCATGTACAGTTACATCCAGGACTTCCAGCTGCACCCCGATGATGTCCAGGGCATCCAGTACCTCTACGGTGAGCAGCTACACTGCAGCTGGGTGTTTTGTGTGTCCTGCAGCACCAAGCTGGTTCTAGGCTCATGCCCTCCCCTGTATTCACTCAGGTCGTGGCTCTGGCCCTAAGCCCACTGCACCTGCACCTGCTCCTACTGAGGAGCCCCAGCCTGTGCCCACAGAGGAGCCCCAGCCCATGCCCACAGAGGCTGGCAGCACCTCCACCACTGAGGAGGAGGATGAGGAGGAGACAACACCACAGCCCACAGTTGGACCCATTCCTGTGGACCCCAGCCGGGATGCCTGCATGGAAAAGAACTTTGATGCTATCACAGAGATCAATGGGGAGCTGTACTTCTTCAAGGATGGGTGAGTGGCAGCATCTGGCACCTCCTGCCCTGGTGGGGTGGGATGTGGGGGAACACAGGGATGTGGGGGACAGGGACTGTGGCAGGCTGAGGTGATTAGGACAGCTCATCTTCCCCACCAGGAAATACTGGACCTACTCGTCCTTCTGGAAATCGGGCATCCAGGGTGCCTTCTCTGTTGCTGATACCTGGCCTGGCCTCCCAGACACCATCGATGCTGTTTTCCAGGATTTGCTCACCAAGAGGGTCTTCTTCTTTGCTGGTGAGCTCTGCCCCCACTGCCCTCGGCCCAGTCCCACGGGCAGTGGGAGGAGCCTGGTGAAGCCTGGAAGCTCTCAGGACTGTCTGACACCCCCACTATCTCCCACTGCAGGTCGGCAGTTCTGGGTGTTTTCTGGGAAGAGTGTGCTGGGCCCCCGGGGGATTGAGAAGTTGGGTATAGGGAAGGAAGCTGGCCGCCTCTCGGGGGCCCTGCAGCGGGGCCGTGGCAAAGTGCTGCTCTTCAGCGGGGAGAGCTACTGGAGGTGAGCAGGACTGGAGAGCAGCAGCGCCCACCTGAGCCCCTGGCAAGGGACTGGGAGGGGGTTTCCCGGCAGCCCTGAGAACGGTTCTGCTCTCCCACAGGCTGGATGTGAAGGTTCAGAGGGTGGACAAGGGTTACCCCCGTGCCACCGACGACGTTTTCACCGGCGTCCCCCTTGATGCACGCAATGTGTTCCTCTACCAAGGTGAGTGGAACTTGGCGGGTGAGTGCTGTGTGTTGAGGCCCGGGCTACCTGAGCCTCTCAGGGCATTGCTCCAGTTCCTGGCTTGGGATGCTCAGGTGTGTGGGGAATGGCCCCAGGACAGGGCATGTCATCAGGTCCAGTGGGTCCTTGTGGTGGAGCTGGCAGGGTGCCAGCAAGGTGCAGAGTGCCATGTGCCTGTGCTGCTTGGGCAGCCACCGGGATGGGTCTTTGTATGGCCAGACTCCCGCTGACCCTCCATTCCCTCTGTCCCCTCCTTGCCCAGGCAAGTACCACTTCTGCCGGGGCAGCTTCTACTGGAGGATGACACCGCGCTACCAGGTGGACCGGGTGGGCTACGTCAAGTATGACATCCTGCAGTGTCCCCAGCACTGAAGGTCTGACCAGTCACCGGCTCTGCCAGTGCTGCTCCCTGCCCGCTGCTCCCAACCTGCGGGCTCCTGTGTCCTAGGCTGACCCCTGGGAGCCTTGTCGCTGTGGGTAGCCCCAGATGAGGTCACTATCTTCCTGGAAGAAAGGGGCGGGGGGTCCTAGGGTCACCCCCTGGGAGCTGCCCAACCTGGGGAGCCCCAGCTGGGGAGGACTCTTGCCACAGCTGGCATTGTGCCATCCCTTCCAGTGCCAGCTCCACTGCACAGAGGCGTTTGTCTGGTGCAAACTGCACATGGATTCGAGACAAATTTGTCTTTTTCCTGAGCCAGTGATGCCAGGTCAGGCTGAGCCCCACTGGGAGCTGGCACCTGGGGACACACCAGGGTGGGACACAGGGTTTTGCCTACTCCTGCCCATTCTGCCAACCATCCCCTCTACCAATTGCCTGCCGATTTGTAATAAAGACAATTCTTTGGACATAGCTTCGAGTGTTCGATCAGCTATTGGGGCCATGGCTTGGAGATGCCATGGGGCATCATCCTCCCCCAGCACCAGTGGGGCAAGGGGGCACTGGGGGGTGGGGGCTGTCACCAAGTCCCCCTTTGCTAAGGACTCTGGATCACTCAAGGACACTGGGTCCAACGGGGAAGGATGTCCCTCGGTCCCGACATTGTCCACTACCAGTCCTACGCCAGGTGCGGCACTCCCCACCCCGACTCCCTTGACCTCCCAAGCCCTGGCCCCGCATAATCCTCCACCCACTGCCCTCCCCTGCGCTCCACCTTTGCACCGAGATGAGGAGCGGGCGGTTGTCACCGCTTGTGGCCGGCACACAGCGTGTGACCGGACTGCCCACTGCAGCTGAGACCCCGCCGCGACCTGGCCCCGTAGATTCTGCTCTGTCCCTGAGCGGCCGCAGAGCGCAGCGGCAGAGCCAGGGCCGGGATCGTGCCCGAGGGTGCCCGAGGGTGCCCGGGTCCGCGGCAGGGTGGGGCAGCCGCAGCTCCGGGGCTGTAATTAGCTGTAATTAGCGGCCGCGGCTCCGGACAGGGCGGGGGCAGAGCGCGGCCCCCTCCCGTCCCGTTGGGGCACGGTCGCAGCACCCCCAGTTTGGCGGCGGTTGTGGTACCGAGCGGGCGTGGCGGAGCGGTCCCGTCCCGTCGAATCGAGCCGGGCCGAACGGGGTCGAACCGAGCCGACCGGAGCGGGGCCAAGCGGATCCAGTCGGACTGGAGCCAGCCCTGCGGCCGCGGGGGCGGCGCGGCGGGCGGTGCCGCGGGCACTAGGACCCCGGTCAGCGCCCGGCGGGGCCGCGCTCAGCCACCGCTGGGGCCGGAGCCACTTGTGGCGACGACGGGGCCATGAGCGGGCGGTTCACCGTCACCGGCGGCGGGGGTGAGCGCCGGGGGCAAGGGGGGCCCGGGGAGGCTCCGGAGGCGGAACATGGTGCGCGACGAGAATCCGCGGGGCAGGACAGGGTCCGCGGGGAGGGTCCGCGAGAAGGGCCGGGACGTCGGGACACCATGGGGGGTGCGGAGCTGCGGTCGGTCTGGCCCCTTGGAGGCAGTGCAGACCCCCGGAGAAGGGATGGCGCGGAGCTGCGGGATCCGGGAGATGGGAGGTGCAGAGCAGGGAGCGGGGCTCAACCTTCCGGACAGGACCCCTCGTCCCAGACTCTTCCCCGCCGCCACCCCCGCTCCTCAGGGGGCTCCCCTGTTCCGGTCCCCATACCGGGGGCTGTTGGAGCGAGGCCCTCTGCTGCCGGACCAGCAGCGGGATGGAGCGGGTTTACGGCTGTGGGTCGGCTGTGGGTGCGAGGTCACATACTGCTCCCCATGGTCGAGGGTGGCTGCTGCCCGGCCAGGTGAGGGTATGGGGAGGGCAAGCTGTGGCCAGACCTCGGATGCAGCAGTGACCACCGAGCTGCCATAGGCACAGACACTGGAGCCGGCAGCCATCACCTCGAGGTGCCCTGGGGACGTGGCGGTAGGGCTTTGCTGTCACCAGAGCTGTATCGATCCCAGAAAACCGGCCGACGGCAGCACCGGAGCTGTGCTGCTGGAGCTGTGACCTTGCACCCTCGGCGAAGGGCGCGGGTGGGAGGCGCGAGCAGCCGGACGGACACCAGGACACCCGGGCTGGGCTGTGTCTCCGTCAGTGGGCTCTGGCCTTTGGGGCCCTGTCTAGGATCACCCTGTCGTGGGTGATGTAGGGCTGCATCCAGAGGCAAGGGGATGCCGGGCCACTTGTCACTCTATGGCAGCCGGGCCAACTGGGCCTGGCCTGTGAGCTGTGTTGGGGTGGAGCGGACTGTGATGAGCCAGGGCTGTGGCTGAATTCTGGGGCCTTCCAGGAACAGCTCCTTGATTTGGCAGCCAGTCTGCTGGTGGGGGGCTGCGGGGAGCTGGGATGGGCATGCCGAGTGGCCGTGGTGGGAGCAAGGAACACATCCTTCTGGCTGAGCTGTGACCTTGTGCCCTCCCAGAGGACAGCCAGTGGCTAGTCCTGCTGGAGGTGCCCTGTCTTGTGGGGTGGTCACAGCGGTGGCAGGGTGGCTACTTAGGGGTTGGCAGCGTTCGGGGGTTCCTCACATCCCACATTTCTCCACAGCGCTGGGACCATGGTTGCTGCCTCTCGGGGGGATGGATGGGAGGGGATGCATGGGGCTGGCGGTTGCAGGACTGGCAGGGGCTGTGGATGGCAGGCGGGAGCTCTGGACAGCAGTGTTCCCGGGAGGGACTCGGCCTTGGGCGAACACTCGGTGTTGCCTGGCCACATGTCAGTGTCGCGTGTGGGGGACACAGTGACGGAGATCCCGGGGACCTCGGGGCGGTGCGGGAGCGAGGGTGGCAGCCGGCCGTGCTGCCAGTGCCAGGGAGGCGCGGGGACCCCCGGGCCAGCTGGAGGGCCCCTGCTCGTCCGTGAGCTGGCGCCGTGCTCGGGGCGCCTTGTGGCTCCCGGGGCCGCCCTTTGGGCAGGTCCTACACGGGAGCGGCCCCAGGCGGGTGGTGCTGAGAAGGGATCTCAGCCCCCGAGCAGGGGCGGCGGAGGCAAGGGTCCTCCCGGTGCCGGGCGGGGGAGGGTACGGACAAAGCCTCGCCGCGGGAGCCTCGGGACCGAGCGGGGATCACCGCTGGAGTACGGCCGGATCCAGGGCTTGGCCCGGGAAATGCAGTCCGTGCGGGGGCGGACCGGGCTGCGCGGGGTCCTGGCGAGGTCTGAGCGGGGTCCGTGCGGGCGGCGGCGGGGGCGGACCGGGCTGCGCGGCGCCGCCAGGGGGCGATAACGGGACGGGACGGCTCCGGTGGGGGTGTGTCCCTCCCGGCCCCGCCCCCGGGACTCGCCGGTGCCGCTGCCCCGCGGGGACCCGCTCCCAGCGCGAGCGCAAGGCGGGCCGGACCCCGCGGGACCGGGGATCGATGTGCTCCACCTGGGACCCACCGTGGGTCTGGCCCCCATCTCCGGGGGCGCACATGGGGCTGCTGCCCCCTGCTCGTTGCGCTGCCCGTGGGTCAGCCACCCTGCCCCGACAGGGCACCGGGGCATCCCCACCGCGGAGCCCCTCTGTGTCCCGAGCGGTCAGGCTCCGCGGAAGTAGCCATGGCAACCAACCAGTTAAGGAGCCTCTCTCGTTGCCGTGGTAACCGGTCCCGGTGTCACCCTTGCCATGACTCTCGGTGTTGAGGGGGTTGAGCAGCTCTCTCGCCCCCCACGAGGGCCCGGGGGTCATGGGGCTGTGGGCCATAAGCCATGGACAAGGCTCTGTGGGGCAGGTGTGGGAGGTGAGGCCCTGAGGGGGGCTTGGGTAGAGCAGGGACCCCAGCAGCCCTGGCTGCACCCCCATGCAGGGCCCCTGCCGAGAGGCACTGGAACACAAGAGAGGGGGCAGGACCCCCGCTTGGAGCACCGTGCACAGAGAATACATGTGAGGGACAGGGGCTGCTAAGGAGGCTCCCCCAACCGCCCCATCTCCTCCAGCCCCCTCACAGACACTCAGGTCAGGTTTGTGGCCGACTGGGTGCCCTTGGGCTATCATTAGAAGAGCCAAGGGTCTGCAGCAGATAGAGGCCGATGATATGAGGGGGGTGGGATGCTGCCGGGGGTGGGATGCTGCTAGGGGGGTGGGGTGCTGCCAGGGCGCTGGAGCAGCCGAAGCCCCATCTACTGCCTGCTGTAGCTTTCCCAAAGAGTCTCCATGCCACTGAACACAGCACAGGTGCTTCAGTAGGGTGCCGGAGTGGAGGTCCTTGCACAGGCTGTGGGGCTGAGTGAGGCGTGCAGTGTGGAACACAGGACACTCCAGTGCCTCATCAGCTAATCCTGCACCCAAACCCTTCTGGCAACAGCTGGCAAGTGGCCGTGCAGCTGCTCCACGGCCATCACTAGCCCCTCTGGCCCTGGCTCAGCAGTGGCTGCCTGGAATCCCCAGGATACTGCAACTGGCACAGGGCTGCCTGGGGGCTCCTCAGCTGTATCGCCAGGAGCAGGGCCTGGTGGAAGGAGGCTGCTTCTGCTGCTGATCCCTGTGCCAGGCTGCCCAGCCACTCACTGCTGTGGCCCTGCTGCTGGCAAGACATCTGGGCAAGGGCAGCTGGGGACGCTGCACCAGCTGCGCACTGTGCTGGGCTCGTATGACGCAGGAGCTCACAGCCCTGCCCCATGGCCTCTGCCAGCCCTGCCCCATTGCCGCCCTTCTGCTCTCGGCCTCAGACAGCTGCAGTAGCTCCCGTGGCTCCCCTCCCAGCCCCACAGGACACTGTACCTCTCTCCATGTCCTGTCCTCCTGCTGCAGCTGGTGTAAAGTCCCAGCTGGTGCCTGTGTCAGCTCTGGGCTCTGCTTTTGTCCCGTGCTGGTGGCAGAGCCCTGACCTGTCTGGATGGAGATGAACAAGAGCACTTCGTCCTGCCAAGGTGCTGCAGGATGTGTTGCCCCTGGGCTCGTGGGGCTGTCAGGACTGTGTGATGAGGGCACACTGTGATGCAAACCCCCCGCTACAGCGTTTGGCTGGCATCACTGCCCTGCTGCACCTCCATCGTCTTGGGGTCTCTCCTGCCCCAGCTCTTCTTTTCCCTGGGAGCTGCTTGTCCTCAAGCCCTCAGTGCAGGGTATCCCATCCTGGCAGGATGTGGATGGGCAGGCTGTTGACAGTGCCCAGGGATCACAGCAGGCAGTGCAATGTGCTGACCAGCATCTCCACAGCACAGCTGCCCTCACTGCCCGGGTGGCACACTGCCAGGCTGCCCGCTCCCTGCCCTCTGGAGGTTTCCCAGTGACTCCAGCACGTGTCTCACTCCTGGGAGGTTTGACCGCTGCTGGTAATAGGACAAGCAAGGGCTGTGTGGCCCATGGCCAGAATTCCAGCCCTGGGAATGTCTGTGAGAATGGTTCCCCCCACCCAGGTTCTCCGCAGAGGGGTCTGGGACATTCTCAGGAGTCTCTGCAGGGGTACAGGACACTTTGCAGAGATGCTTCTTGGCTTG